AACAATTAGGGTATTGGTGCTCCGGGAAGGGACCACTCAGGTGAGTGTGGGGGGGTCCTGGGTTTGATCCCCAGCTGGCTGGAGCCCAGACCTGATGAGGTCTCTGCTCCAGACAGGGGACACTGAGGACACATGTTGCTGATGCCAGCAGTTTGGGGCCCTTACAAGTGCCCACCCACGCCACTGCCTGCCACCAGCCCCCACTATCCCACTTGGGCCGGAAGGAAGTGGCAGATTCTCTTTAATTTCCTCTTGGCAGTGAGAAGCAAACAAACGGCTACCACATCTCATGGGGCCTCCCCCTCTTACTGGGAGGGGCGTTCTGACCAAAGGTCCCTGCCCTGCACCACCCCCGCTTCCTCCACTGTAAACACACTACTTCTCCTCCCCTTTTCCAAGTTCTATGGGGAGGGGCGTTCCTCTCCAGGCCAAGGCCATGTTTCTCTCATGTCCCTAGGGTCAGGACCCTGAGCCAGCCAGCAGCCCCTGGCCCTGGTGGCCAGAGTGAAAGATCAGGCAGGTGAGGCCTGTCTCAGTCCCGGAGTCGCCCCTCCCTGCACACTTGTTCTTCTGTATGCACTACCAGCCGCCTCCCAGGGCCCATTGCGGTCTGACCTTGGGCAAGTCACTTCTAGTGCTCTTTGGGCCTGAGGGCCCTCCTCTGAGAGGGAGATCAGCTGCTCTCTGCTTGCAGGAGGTTGGCTGGAGGATAAATAGGCCTGTGATAGGGCACTGTGTGGCTAATGGGGTCACTCCATGCTGGGGCTGCCCTAGCTTCCTAGACTAGTGCTCTAAGAGAAGGGACCCCACCCAGGAGACAGCTGAGGCTTGGTCCAGTCTCAGTATCAAGCTTTAGGCCCAATTTCTGTCTGATTTTTCTCACAAAAAACCTGTCTCAGTTAAAATGCCCCCTTTGTCTTTCCTCATATCCCAACTGGAACAGGGCAGACAGAGAGGCCCCCATGGACCCCTGGACATCCTGAGCTAGTCAGAGCTTGTGGAAGGACCCTGTGGTGACCAAATACCAGGTCTAAAGATCCACTTCTGTGGGATTGGGCTGTACCCTCAGGCCTCTTCTCCCACCAGTGTACTTTCCCTGGGGAAGCCCCTTCTCTGGTGGGGTTAGGTTTATTTCTGGGCTATGGGGAAGGAGAGGCAGGGGTGGAGGTCAGCTGTTAAGACAGAGGCTGGAGGGGCGCCTGGGTGGCTCAGTCGGTTAAGCGACTGCCTTCGGCTCAGGTCATGATCCTGGAGTCCCGGGATCGAGTCCTGCATCGGGCTCCCTGCTCAGCGGGGAGTCTGCTTCTCCCTCTGACCCTCCTCCCTCTCGTGCTCTCTGTCTTTCATTCTCTCTCTCGCAAATAAATAAATAAAATCTTTAAAAAAAAAAAAAGAGGCTGGAAAAAAACCAAATAGAGGTGGAGTATGGGAACTTAGAGGGCCCAGGAAAAGCACTGGGGAGAGGGCCATTCACAGGGGAGCAGGTGGAGAGGGGTTCATGTGTGTTCCATAACTGAGGATATCTGGCAAAGATCCTAGGATATGTTGGCTCTCAAACAGTCTCACATTAGCATACTTCAGTGATGCCTGTGCTGGTCTCAGAATGACCTGCCCAAGTCTGGGACCAGCTGGGAGGGCCCAGTCAGGTCTGAAAGCTCCACTCATTGTTCTCACCATGCCCACTTAGGTGGCCACTTAGATGCCCAAAGCCCTCTGTGGGCTAGTGTCCACAACATGTATTCATCTATTCCAGCCACCTAGACTGAGGACTTCCTCTTAGCTCATTACATTTTGGGGATACATGGTTTTGAGCATGAGAGGGAGGGATGAGTAAAGCTGGAAGGGGTGGGGCACATCTTCCGAAGGCCGAGGCAAGAAGACTGGACTTCATGCAGAGATGAGTGGGGAATCTCTTAGCCCTGCACACTTAGTTCCTTCCGGGTGTCAGTCCTGCTCAGAACTCTTCTGTGGCTCTCCACTGCCCTCTGGATCAAGTCCAAATTCCTCAGCCTAGTATCTGAGGACAAAGTGCTGACCCTGTCTTCTCAGCACCCTGTGCTGACCTCAGCAACCAACTTTTCTTCACTTGGAGTTGGCGGGTATTGCCTCTGCCCAGATTGGGAGCTACTCAAGGGCAGTTCTTTTGTCCGCCACAGCCAGCCTTGGTGTGGGTGAGGGGAGCAGGAATAAAAGAAGAATCAGACAAGCTTGTTGAATGGGATATGTGGCATGGAAAGAAAGAACTTTTCTAAACCCTGACTTTCCTCCAAGGCTTCTGTTTCCCCTAATGTGGAACAAAAGGGGCTGGGCTGGGCTAAGCTAAGCTGTACTATCCCATGGCTCAGAGGCCACAGGAGAGCTTTCAACATTGGGGGCTCAGGACCAGACCTATGGCAGCTGATGAAGGTAATGGTAATTTCCCTAAATCTCAGGCCTGGCTCGCATTCACACAGGAGTGAGAAAGGGTATACAGGGACCCACATAGTCCTTGTCCATGAGTCTGTAGTCCTATCTACTGCAGTAGTCCCCTGGCCTCCTGGTTTCACAGGGCTCTCGGAAGGCTGGAGGCAGGTCAGATGACCTGCCATCTACAAGAGCTTTCTAGCTGGCCCGAGGAAGAGCTGATAGGGGAGATCCTGGCTGAGGAAAAGAGGTGGAGAGAAAATGTATCGGTGTGTGTGAGTGGGACAGGATAGTCCCAGCCTGCAGAGCTCTTAGCCATTGCTGCCTTTCTGACCAAGGGCAGTGACACTCTTTCTGCAGTCAGTGCCCACCGTGGCTCCAGCCCTTATCAGTCCAGGTTAGAGTTCTCAGTTTCCTCCAGACCAGAAACCTTCCTAAGATGTAACCCTGTTTAAGTGTTCTCCAGCTGCACAGTGGTGGGGAAACACAGATGGATTGATCACAGATGCACAGATGGATGCATTTGGTGAATGGGTGAATTTTTCAAGGCCTCTCTAGCTTCTGTGTGTGGTCTCTTCCCAGTGATGGGACTGACAGGTCCAGCTCTTCCCTCTTGCATTCCCCCCTGGCCTTGGCTAGTTGAGCCCCTGGTTTGGAGGACAGAGGGGATAGATAAAGGTCCGTTTTCTCAATCCAGATGATAACCTAGGGAAGTATGTTGGGGGGAGGTCTAGGCAGGGGGACGACAACACATCCTGAAATTGCTCATTAGGAGGATATTTCACCCACACAATGCTGTTTACTCCCTCTCTTTGACCCCTGTTATTTTCTTCTGTCCCTAACCTCCCCCTCCCCCAGAATTCTGAACATGTAAGTTCCTTGCTCTAAATCCTTCTATGGCTCCCTACTGCCCTCAGGATAAAGTCTAGATACTTTGCAGTGGCCTATAGCACTCTTCCCATTCATCTGGCCTTACCTTTGGCTTCTGCTCACTGCCTGTGCTTTCTGATTTCTAAGTTTTTGGAAATCTGTCCTCTGCCTGGAATCATCTTCCTCACCTCTCAGCCATCTTTCCAATTCCTACTTAGCCCTGTGGAGGCCCTGCAACCCTGGGGGATTATGAAACTTTCTGGAGATCCTGGCACATCCCTAATCTCTTTGCACAGTGATTATAGACTTGCTGGCCTCCTCTCCCCAACCCCTGAAGGGCGACTAATTTATCTCTGCTTCTCTAGGTCCAGCTCAGGTATGTGTACAGAGCATTGAGCAGGAAAAATTTTCTGACCTCAGGGATGTACCAATCCAAGATGAACATCTCATCTACTCTGGACATTATCTGTCCTCCTGACCCAAAGCCTACTTAGGCCTTCCTTAGGGCTCCCTGGTAGCTCAGGTATCAGTCCATATATTGAGACCTTTCTACAAAGCATTCCACTTTGTCCTCTTCGCCTTTTTGTGGGTGAGTGCCTGGGCCCTTGCACCTGCACCCAAGCCTCTGAGACCTAGTGCCCTGAGTTCCTACAGCAACTTCCTTCTAGAGATACTATGCCCTGTGGGGCCTGGAGCTAGGGAAGTAGGTCAGTGCTACTTTTCCCAGCTCCTGGTCCACCCTGCGTCTTGAAGGAGCCCTAAGTAAACAAGCCAGGCTCAGCGTCCCCTGGCACGGCCGCCACCCCAGGCTCAGGAGGAGGCGTCCTGGGTCTCAAGGGAAGAGAGGCGCTCTGGGGAGGGACCGAGAGCGAAAAACAGTTCTTCAGACACAGTGTCACTTCCTCTCCATTAACAACCACTCAGTTTGGGTAGCGGGTCCTCCCGCTTTCACGGATGTGCACCGGGATGCTAAGGTCATCGAGCCCATGAGTGGTGCGAGTTCACGACGGGTCTTCTGGTTCAATCAGCTTCGACTTCCAGCAATGGACCGACCTTGCTGGTGGGGCTTTGCCGAGGGCTCGAATGCGCCGGCTGTCCTCCAGAGAGCAGCTGCCAGCTCCTAGGGACAGACAAAGGCGCAGCCACCCGGCGCGGGCCCCGCCCCGAAGGGCTGGGTCTGCATTGTTGAGCTGAGACTCGGGACTCCTCAGGCTGCGCAGGTCTCCTCCGGCTCCGCCCCACCTTAGCTGGAGGCTCGGCCCGGCCCTGCCTTCCCTAGACTCCGCCATTAGGGTTGGGGTGGCGGGATGAGCGTGTGAGTGTCGTTCACGTAACCCTCTCCGGCACTGACACCGTCCCTAAACCCAGCCATCGGAGCAACATTTCAGCCGCCCGTCTCCAAACCCATAACCCTACTCAACGTGAGCTCTGCCCAATAAGGAAAGGGATCTTCGATTGGCGGGTGGACTGGATTGCACTCAATCCAATTAAGAGGGCCCTGGTTTAGAAGTTAAGGAGAGAATAGCGGCCAAACTACAACTCCCAAGAGCTAGTGGGGCCATCCAACTCTCTGTGCACGTGACTTCCTCCTCCCCGAGAGGGAATCACGCGGTAGGCCGGCGAGGGGGGCGGAGCCATTGGGCGAGCGGGGGCGCCAGTGGCCGATGGGCAGCACGGTCGGATGGGCGCGCAGTAGGGGGCGGGGTTAGGCGTGCTACCCTGCGCGGCAGCGCGCTGGCGGCGGCGGCGGCGGCGGGTGTTGGGGGGCGGGGAATATCGGCTAAGGCGGCCGTGGCGGCTTAGGCAGTAGCGACAGGCTGTGGCGGCGGCTCCTGGTGCGACTCGGCGCGCGGCCAGCTCTCGAGTTTGGAACGGAACGCTCGGTGTCACGGTCCCCGCCCGGAAACTTCGCCGCGGAGCCGCGACCTCCTGGCCCGCGCGGCCCGGCATGAAGCGGCGCTGAGGAGCTGCCGCCGCCGCCGCCGCCGCCGCCTCCGTCGCCGCCGCCGCCACAGGAGGAGCCGCAGCACCCTGGGCCACGCCGATGACTACTGCAAACTGTGGCGCCCACGACGAGCTCGACTTCAAACTCGTCTTTGGCGAGGACGGGGCGCCGGCGCCGCCGCCCTCGGGCTCGCGGCCTGCAGGTGGGTGCCGGGCCGGGCGGGACCGGGGAGCGTCCCCTCCTCTCCTGGTTCGCACGAGCTCGTCCCTTCCCTGGTCCCTTGGTTGTCCCGGGATTAGTAACACCGTGTGTGTGTGTTTGTGCGTGCGGTGAGTGAAGAGCGGATTTAAATTGCTGAAGAGGCGTGTGGGTCGCAGCGACGTGTAAGTGGCCGCGGGCTTGGCTGGAAGCGAACTAGTGCGGAACTCGACTCCGGGACGCTTGTGGCTAGTGGACGCCTGCGGTTTGGAGGCCGAGGGTCGGGGCCGTTGCCCAAGTGGCGTCTGGTTGTCGCTGCTTTGCCAGCGTGGTGCGGAGAAAAAGCTGTCCCTGTGAAGTGGAAGCGCACTTGGCTTTTCATCTATCCCAGGTTTTTAACATTTTTTATTTGAAAGGTGCACATGCTTGAGATGTAGGAGTTCTCAAAAATTCGTGCACATGTCTGTTTAAATCTACTTTGTTAGGAGAGTAATGCCATTGGGTTAACACTTGTGCAAGTTTATGGCCCACGTTTAATTCGAAGTGTAACTATAACGGGACTTTTGCAAACTGGATTTCTTTTCTTGAGCAAAATGTTTCGGAAGATTAAAAAAAGTGGGGTGCCTTGTTCATAATTCTAGAAAGTTCTGGAACTCAGTCTTTATTTTAATTAAAAGCTCACCGCAGAAGATGTTTTGGAGGAGGTCGTGAATTAGGAAGATTGGGCACCATAATGGTTGGAGGTCAGACCAATCAGGAAATAGAAACAGGATGGCTGGGGACTAAGAGCTCTCCTGTGACCTGGTTTGGAATACTGTGGTTCATTAAGTTCAGTTTCCCTATTGCATATGCAGGCGAACTTCAAAAGAGAGATGGATAAGACTAATTCCTATTTATTCTTTCTGGGTATTAGATGAATTACTTCATGATCATATTGATGTTCCATTGCACTGAAAAACATATCTGAACGTGAAAGCTAAAGGATTTTTTGGACAGTATTTGTCTTATCAGCCCTTTTAGTGTTTATATGTTGTCTTTTTCAGCATAGTAATTTCAATTAGCAATAATCGCGCCTCGGATAAACCTCATTGGCTACGATACTGCCACTGCGCAAAGCTTCAGCATAGTAATTTACAATAGTTATTTGTTGCCTGAGTTTATTTCAATTCCACAGGCATTGTTTGAGCACCTATTAGGTTGAAGATACTGTTAGGTACTTTGTAGTGTTGTGTTGGATGCAAAAAAGGCCTGAGGCCCCTCAAGGAGCTTGGGAAATGGGAGGGGGACACATAACCCAAATAATTATGCCCCCAGGCTGACTGCATGGTGGTATGTGTTACAACATAGGTAGAAACAGGAAAAGTGGCATTTGTGGAGAGAGTAGCAATGAATTGTGTGTTTAGATTATTGGGATTTAATAAAAACAGACCTTTTTAATGAGTATTTTTATTACAAAGAAGATAAACAGTTGGTGATATCCGCAGACTTTTCTTGAGCACAGACTTGATTAGAGCATGTTATATACCAAATTCATGATCAATAAAGGAGTGTCCTTATGTAAGTAGGAATTGTATGTACATCCAAAAAAATGGATAACATTTAAGAGCTATGAAAACAGCTTTTTAAGAAATGTTTTTTGCCATAAAACCCCAAAAACCATTTTGATACTGAAATGAGTCTAGAAGGAGTTAAAGTTTGAAACTTGACTTATAAATGAAATTCCCAAATTTAAACTTGAGCAGTTTTATTTGATAAAAAGTCCACTTTAAAATATTGGGATAGCTGTATTTTTAAAGGGTTTTTTTTTTTTTTTTGGTCCCCAGTTAAGGTGAAATACACATGACATACCCATTTTAAAGTGAGCAATTCAGTGGCATTTAGTTCATTGACAGTGTTGTGCAACCTCTTGTATCTAGTTCCAAACCATTTTCATCACTCCAGAAGGAAGCCCCAAACCTATTTAAGTAGTTGTTCCTCATTCTCCCTTGTTTCCTCCCACCCCCTGGCTGCCCAGTCCCTAATCTGTGATTTGTTTGAATGGATTTAGCAATTCTGGATATTTTGTGTAAATGGAATCATATAAAGGTGTTTGGCTTCTTTCACTTAGCATAGTATTTCATGGTTCATCCATGTTGTAGAATGCATCGTTACTTCATTCGTCTTTATGGCTGAATAATATTCTATTGTATATATACCCCCAGTTTATCCTTTCCTCCAGTGATGGACACTTGGGCTGTTAACTGCCTTTGGTTATTGTGAATAGTGCTGCTATGAACATTTAGCAGCTAATTTAAAAATTCTGAGAAGGATGTGTTATATGTTCAAAATTATTTGTTCACAAAATTAGTTTTCATTTTAATAAGTATAATTATGAGTGTGTAGTTTGAATATTTTATTTATTTACTTGACAGAGAGAGAGCAAGAATGCATGCACAAGTAGGGTGAGAGGCAGAGGGAGAGGAGAAGCAGGCTCCCCGATGAGCAGGGAGCCCAGCAGGGGACTTGGTTCTTTTTTATTTCCTCTTGTTTCCTGGGATCAAGACCTGAGCCAAAGGCTGTCGCTTAACCAACTGAGCCACCCTGGCGCCTCTATGCGTGTGTAGTTTGAGGGAACAAGTAGATTAACTGACATGCTTTTAGGATGGCAATAGGCAGTAGAGTGAGCCATGAGAATAAAATTGCTTGGCAGAATTAAGACCAGTATGGGGTTATATCAGTGTGTTTACATGTTTATGGATTTTCTTCCTTACTGGATCGAAGGTTTCATGAAGGCAGGGATGATGTCTATATTTTGTTCATAGTTGTATGATCGATGCCTAGCATAGTGCCTTTAACATAAGTGGGCACCCAGTATTTGTTGAATTAATGAATAAATACCGCTTAAGTTTTTTTTTTTTTTTTTAAAGATTTTTTATTTATTTATTTGAGACAGAGAGAATGAGAGAGAGAGAGCACATGAGAGGGGGGAGGGTCAGAGGGAGAAGCAGGCTCCTTGCTGAGCAGGGACCCGATGCGGGACTCGATCCAGGGACTCCAGGATCATGACCTGAGCCGAAGGCAGTCGCTTAACCAACTGAGCCACCCAGGCGCCCAATACCGCTTAAGTTTTGAGCTCACTTTTTCTGTGGTAGAGGAAGTTGATGAGACTTGTTTCAATTCTTTCGCTTTTAGTGGTCAGTCCCCTAAGACAGCAGATCTAGGAATTTGGGGCTGAAGGTTTTCCATCTCTTTGAGGGTTTGAGAGTATTTGTATCACATGTACATTTCCATACAGAAGATTTTTGAAAAATATTTGGAGGAAGGGATAATGGATGGGAACTGAGGATAAACAGAGGGGCTGAATTTAGTGAATGTTCTAAGAGAAAGCTTGTTAAAGTACAAATTAGATGTTTTGATACTTGATAATGTCGGATACATTTATGACTGAGTTTTTAAGATTATTGCTTTGGGAGGTGTTTTGAGATTTTTTCCATTAAAGAAAATTTAAGACCCTGGAGTCCTTAGCAATGAGGCTAGTTTTGATTTTTTTCAGTTAAAAATGAATCAAACTATTTTGTTTAAATTTTCTTAATACCTTGCTTTAAAATGAAGATATACTTCAGTAGTAAATAGAAAATTTTAAGTTGGTAAGTGTTTAATGCCTTTCACTAATATTATTTGCCATTATAAAGGGCAGCTTCTGGTGCTTTATTTGAGGGTACTGATTGTGTATCTCTAATTTAGTTTGATGTTGTAATAATCTTTTCAAATTCAAAGTTTGACTCTCAGGGCTGGTCCATTATTAAATATTGACTTTCTAGTCCTGAATGAGAGTCACTGGAAGGAGTGTGTGCCATATACTGACTGCATAGTATCTTTTCTACTGCTGCTTTTTAAGAGGGGAGAAATATCTTAGATACAATATGTATTTTTGTAAGAAATTTGCTTTCGGATAAGATGTGTAATTTTGTTGGCTATCACTTTAATACACAACTTTTTCCTGTGTAAATCTGAGGAACTTTTCCTAGATGATCATCAAAGTCTTTAATTTGTAGTGTTCTTTGTATAGTGCTTGAAACTCTGATTCATGTTTTTTTTTTTTAAGATTTTATTTATTTATTCATGAGAGACAGAGAGAGAGAAAGAGAGAGAGGCAGAGGGAGAAAGCAGGCTCCTCACTGAGCACGGAGCCTGACGCAGGACTCCATCCCAGGACCCCGGGATCATGACCTGAGCCAAAGACAGACGCTTAACCATCTGAGCCACCCAGGCGCCCTGATTCATGTGTTTTTTATAATTTAACTGTCTCAGATAATTTTCTTACTTTTCAGTTTCTATTGATAATTTTTCCTCAAAGTTTTTGTTTTATCTATGTCAAATGAGATAAGGTATTTAAAGCTCTTAGCACAGTTTTTGGTCCAATAGTGCTCATTAAGTGCTGTTAGTTAACATTTCTTAACACACACACACGCACGCGCGATAGGTTATTTTTTTATTTCCTCTTGTTTCCTAGATCCTTCTCTCTATGCTAAACTAAAACACTGAGGGTGAGTAGGGGCAGATAGGAGATCCAGTTATTTTAAACCTTGCATAGAGAAGTTGTAATATTTGTCTTAGACATTTTTACTCTATCTTCTTCTGTTATTCTTTTCAGTGTTAACCTCATTTCTCATATTTTACTAAATAGAAGTACTGAAGGTCACTTGCCTTTATGTTTTTCTACTTTCTGGAATTAAACTGTTAGTATGGTGTGAAAGTTGATTTGCTAACCATACTAAGTATAATTGGATATTTAAATCAGTATGAAAAAAGGGAAGTTGCTTGTATGGTTTCCTGTAGAAATTTAATGGTGTGTTTGTGTGTAGCGCATTAGGTAGTGTCTAGGAGGAGATGATTACTGCTGAGCCTTAGTTTCATACCATAGGTCAGCTTTTTTGAATGCAGTGAGAATATGTATCTGGTGATTGAGTCACTGACAGATATTTCAGTATTTCACTTGGAAGAATAATTTAATATTCTGTTTCTTTTTTACATTTTTTTATTTTTTATTTTTTTAAAGATTTTATTTATTTATTCGACACAGAGAGAGACACAGTGAGAGAAGGAACACAAGCAGGGGGAGTGGGAGAAGGAGAAGCAGGCTTCCTGCAGAGCAGGGAGCCCAATGCGGGGCTCGATCCCAGGACCCTGGGATCATGACCTAAGCCGAAGGCAGATGCCTAACGACTGAGCCACCCAGGTGCCCCTAATATTCTGTTTCTTTGATACTTCCTGATAGGGGTAGATGCTCCTGGGGGTATTAGCAGAATTTTGTGATGGAGCTGTCATATGTTGCGTTAAAATTTCATCAATGGAAGAGCATTGCTATACCGCTATACCTGCATTTTCTTAGGTTTTCCCATTTGCCAATACAAAAGAGACATTTTGGCATATTTTCTAAATTTAGTAGAAGTAATACTGTAGTAGTTATATTACATGATATAAAAATTAAAACTTGGGTATTATGTACATGGCCAAGAAATTGTGGGTCTTGTGAGGCCTGTATCTTCAGCATTTAAGGGCATTTAAGGTATTAATTTAACGTAAATGGTAGAATCAGCTTATTGTTATGACTTGCCTTTCTGTGACAACGAGTAAACTTTGCCAATAATTGTATGTATTTTTATTGAGGGCATATCCCAAGCTCTGCTTTTGAGTTTTGCTCTTTATTTTTTCAATGAAGTGTGATCATAAAGACATTTTTGGTAAGAAAATGTGAAAAGTGTTTTTCTTTAGAGAATGTAATAAAGTACTGATATATAAAATGGAAGCCTACTAAGAGAAGATAAGCAGTTGTGTTACTGATCGTTTATGGTGAAGTTATACTGAAGTTTATATTATACTGAAGTTTAATGTGTCCTTTACTTTCCTTATTAGTATTGAGTAGTTGATGATTCAGTATGGTGATGTTTTATTTTAAATAAGAGGTGGGGTTGAGGAAACCATAATAAGGTGAAGTCAGTCGTATTACTCTTAAGAGATAGGAAACCCGAGTAGGTTGAGCCTCATTTGATAGTAAGCTGCAGTTTGACTGCTCACAGCAGTAACATAAATAAGGGAGGTGTTGTCTAAAGCTGTCCTGGTGGGTCAGGGGAGTAGACATAGCGGACTTGGCAGTAAGCCTGGCTTCTAAAACAAAATCCAAGTCATCAAATTGGCCCAGGCATGCCATATGAGGTTCAAGTAACAGTGGAATTTAAGAGGAGTGAGTTTGTTCATGGAGGCTTTAGGAGAGTCACAAGCAGGAGTAAGCATTTTAATAGCCATAATTTTAACTCAAACGTAGTATGGATCTGCATATATTTTAGCATTTCAGATAATGTTTATATAAGTATAATGGATGGCTCTCACCTGCTTGCCTGAATTCAGTAGACTTTAGAAGAGAGGAACAATTGGACCTGTAAGATTCAAGTAGTATGGTCTATGAACTTTCCTTGAGGTGCTACCTGAAATTTAATCATCGGGTCAGTTCTAGTTATGTTGATACCCTGTGTGCAAAGGAACTACATGTCTATGAAAGTCAGAAAATCCCTAGTACACAGGAGAAGTAACTTTGAACGCTCCATTTTCCTACAAAATGTAAAGTTTGGATATGTCTTATGTTACAGAAGCAGGTGACAGTTTTAATTTTTTTCAATACATTTTCAGTGTCTTAAAATAATTTTTATATTTCTAAACTCTGTGGTAAAATTCTTTTTAAATTTTATTTATTTATTTATTTGAGAGAGAGAGAACCAGCGGTGGGGAGGGGCAGAGGGAGAGAGAGAGAGAGAGAGAAGCAGACTCCCTGCTGAGCAGGAAGCCCGACGCGGGCTTATCCCAGGATCCAGAGATCGCGACCTGAGCTGAAGGCAGCCTCTTAACCGACTGAGCCACCCTGGTGCCCCTCTGTGGTAAATTTTTATCAGCTTTGCTGTTTATTTTAGTTAGAAAATAGGATTAAATGAGCTTTGGAATTAATATTGAGTAATAACTTTTCAGTAATGTTAATTTATATCATATGAAAAAATATTTCTGAAAACATTTTTTCCCATCAAGGTGATTAATCATTAGCCAGAACACTTTAATGGACAGTTTGTGAGTTGTACTTAAATGTAAATATTTTTCAGTATTGTTTTAAAAAAGGTTGTTAGGGACGCCTAGGTGGCTCAGTCGTTAAGCATCTGCCTTCAGCTCAGGTCATGATCCCAGGGTTCTGGGGTTGAGCCCTACACCCGGGTCCCTGCTCCGCAGGAAGCCTGCTTATCCCTCTCCCACTCCCCCTGCTTGTGTTCCTGCTCTCACTCTCTCTCTCTCTGTCAAATAAATAAAATCTTAAAAAAAAAAAAATAAATAAAAAAGGTTGTTAAATAAAAATGACGGGAAAAAATGATATTCAAAAGTTGTTGAAGCTAGGGGCACCTGCCTGGCTCAGTTGGAAGAGCATATGACTCTTGATTGATCTCGGGGTCATGAGTTCAAGCCCTACCTTGGGTGTAGAGATTACTTAAAAAAAAAAAAAAAAAAGTAAACTCAAAAAAGATTGTTGGGGGCCCTTGGGTGGCTCAGTTGGTTAAGCATCTGCCTTCAGCTCAGGTCATAGTCTCGGGGCCCTGGGATGGAGCCACCCTCCCGCCTGCTCAGCAGGGAGTCTTCTCCCTCTGCCCCTTCGCCCACCCCGCTTGTGCACAAATGCTGTCTCTCAAATAAATACGTAAAATCTTTAAAAAAAATTGTTGAAGCTAGATGATGGCTATATGAGAGTTTATTGTAATATTTTCTGTATTTTTTGTATGTTTTAAAATTTTCATAATAGAAGGTTTAAAAAATGACATTCAGAAACTCTTCAAGTTCCTTAAGGTCTTAGATTAGGATAGGAAAAATGGTTTTTTTTTTTTAAAGATTTTATTTATTTATTTGAGACAGAGAGAATGAGAGACAGAGAGCATGAGAGGGGGAGGGTCAGAGGGATAAGCAGACTCCCTGCCGAGCAGGGAGCCCGATGCGGGACTCGATCCTGGGACTCCAGGATCATGACCTGAGCCGAAGGCAGTCGCTTAACCAACTGAGCCACCCAGGCGCCCCGGAAAAATGTTTTAAAATGGCATTATGAGGGGCACGTGGGTGGCTCAGTTGGTTAAGCATCCAGAGCTCAGGTCTGAATCTGGGGTCTTGAGTTCTAGCCCTGCATTAGGCTCCTTGCTGGGTGTGGAACCTACTTAAAACAACAACAAAATAAAATAGCGTTATAAAGTTAATAAGATTTGCTGTTGCATGTAATTAAAAAAAAAAATAAACTGGTTTAGCTGGGCTCCTGGTAGGCTCAGTTAGTGATCTCCTGTCTGGGATCAGGCTCAGGGCTCAGCAGGGAGTCTGCTTCTCTCCTTCTTCTGCCCCTCTGCCCTGCATGCTTGGGCAAGCTCTTCAAATAAGTAAATAAAAATCTTTTAAAAAATAAACAAAAACTGGTTTAGCAAATAAACAATATAAAAATTGGTTGTGCTATGTCTGATTTACAAAACCCATTACTCTCTTTAATTAGTATTAGTAGTGGGATGGTGAGGTGAGTTAGTGTACATAAATAAAAAGTGAACTGATCTTTTGGTATGCTTTTAAGTAGGTATTTTTTAGGGGTGCTTGGATGGCTTAGTCTGTTAAACGTTGGACTCTTGGTTTCGACTCAGATCATGATCTCATGGGTTGTGGGATCGAACCCTGGAGACCTGGAGATGTGCATCGGACTCTGTGCCCAGCGGGGAGTCTCCTTGAAGATTCTCTCCTGCCCATCTCCCCACTTGCACCCTCTCTCTCTCAAATAAATAGATCTTTTTTTAAAAGTAGGTATTTAAAAAAAAATTTAAAGATTTTATCCATTTATTAGAGAGAGAACGCATGGAGGGCAGAACCTGAGGTGGGGCTTTGACCCATGATTCCAAGACCCTTGACCCGGGTGGAAACCAACAGTTGGAGGCCCAGCCAACTAAGCCACCCAAGTGCCCTGGTATTTCTTAATTTTTTAAAATGTTTTCTGACTATGGGGTCAGAAAAATTCACTTACTGCTTAGTAATTTAAGGGCTTCATGATATTATTTTTTATTATTATTATTTGTTTTTTAATGTAGGCTTGGCATCCAGCACAGAGCTTGAACTCATAAGTCTGAGATTGAGACCTCAGCTGAGATCATGAATCGGTCACTTAACTGACTGAGCCACCTGGGCTCCCTGAGCTTGAAATTATTTTTGAAAATATTAATGTTTTATCATATTGCTTGTATCTGTCAGTCTAATATTTATTTATTGTCAGTTCTCTTGAACTTTTAGATTTATGATGAAATGGAACTAGAGGACTTGGTCTTAATTTTAAGACTACTTTTTTGTTTTTTTATTTTTTATTATTTTTTTAAAGATTTTATTTATTTATTTGAGAGAGAGAGATTGAGAGAAACAGTGGGAGGAGGGGCAGAGGGAGAAGCAGTCTCCCTGTGGAGCAGGGAACCAGATGCGGCGATCCTAGGACCTCAGGACCATGACCTGAGCGAAAGGCAGACGCTTAACCGACTGAGCCACCCAGGCTCCCCAAGACTAGAGTTTTAATCCTACTATGTAATTTATAGTGATTAACTGACAAAAATAATTGACGTGTAAAGTCTTGTGAAAATTTTGTGAACATTTCAGAGCAAACAAAATCTGAAATTTATTCTCTTACATCTTGACATTTGTGAGATCATATTTAATACTAAAGGAATATAGGTATTAAACTTGTCCTTTATAATTGGAAAGGCTTTGGGGAAAATATACAAAGTTTCATCTAAATGTTACTTTTTCTTTTTTTTATTGCAATGTAAAAGTTTTAAGGAAACTTTGATTTCCTCTGATATTAATACTACTTTATAGTTTCGCCTCCTTTCAGTAGAGGGTTGTTCAATAAAAATGACATTCAGGAAAAAAATGACATTCAGAAATGGTTGAAGCTAAATGATATATGAGGACTTCTTCTTATACTACCTGCTTTATGTTTGAAAACTTCCGTAATACAAAGTTTTGAAACTTTTTTGAACATAATGCAAAAAGAGTAAGAAATGCATTTTATGTTTCATCCCAACACAAGCATACATATTTATACACAGAAAACTGAGATAGAAGTTTCAGATAAAGCAGCATTTACCTCTATTCTGTGACATTACCTTGACATTTTCTTTTTCATTATATTAAACAATTGTTCAAACCTTTAGTTTGAAAAACAGAGTTTTAGGAAATGGTTTCGTAATTCTGATTATATTAATAACTTAGGTCATAGAGATGTTCTTGTTATTCAGGCCATATTTCCTTATGTCTGTAGTTTTGTTTTTGTTTTTTTTTAAAGATTTTATTTGTTTATTTGACAGAGCGAGAGCAAGAGCAGGAACAAGCAGGGGGAGTGGGAGAGGAAGAAGCAGGCTTCCCGCCAAGCAGGGAATGTGGGACTCGATCCCAGGACCCTGGGATCACGACCCGAGCCGAAGGCAGACGCTTAACAACTGAGCCACCCAGGTGCCCATGTCTGTAGTTTTAATACATTTTTTTTTTAATTACTTTTTATTGGATTACTTTATTACTATCTTTTATTGGGTTACTTGGTTCCTCAGTTTTGTCACTTTCTGAAAATGAGTTGTATCTCCCCATTTTTCTCTGCTCTGTGACCATACTCAAATCTTGGTCACCTCCTGTTTGGATTTATGAAATTTTCTCTTCAAATTTTATTCCCCCCCCAAATCATTTTTGAAAGTCACAAGCCAAGGGCATCTTTGATTCCTGTTCCTTGCATCTATACCATGCCTCCTCACTGGTCTTTCTCATGCTCTACCTGTTTTAGATCCCTCACTCTCTATGTTAATAGAATAGTAATTATCATCTTTAATTTTATTCAACTTTTTTCAGTGTCAGTGTGAAACCTTCGCTGTACCCATTTATCTGAACTGCCTCTGCCAACCACATGTTTCATAGTCTTTCTTTTTTGAGTCAATTTATAAACACTATTTTGAGGTACTGCTGAGTTAGGTCTAGGTTCTAGATTCATGTTTGTTGCGGTCTTGTGTGACATTGCTAAAAAGCACAGAATAGTTTTTGGCTAATAATCCTTTCATTTTATAAGAGAGGATATTGAGGTTCAAGTTTCTTTGCCCAGGGTCATTTAACCAGTTAGTCGCAAAACAAAAACCCAGGACCTCTGACTCCTATTCCTTTCTTCTTCTCTAGAAAGTTGCTTGATTTCTTCTTGAAAATTGTAGAGTTGTTTTTGCACAGCTGATAATTTTGATCATTTTTGTAACTGTTCCTTTTTGTGTTTGTGTTCTATTAGGTCTATAGAACTGTTTCTGTTCTATTACATAAATACTTAATTTAATTGAGTACCTGTTATGTGCAAGGTATTTTTATGTATATTATCTCTAAGTCTTATGATAATCTGAAGAGGTAGGTGTTATTTCCATTTGTTTTTAAAGATTTATTTGTTTTAGAGAGAGAGAAAGAGAGCTGGGGGGGGGAGGTGGGGCAGAAAGAGGGGGAGAGGGAGAATCTCAAGCAGACTCCCTGCTGAGCTTGATCCCAGGACGCTGAGATCATGACCCTAGTCTAAACCAAGAGCCCGATGCTTAACTGACTGAACCACCCAGGTGCCCTTGTTTTAGTTCTGTTTAATACCTGAGGAAACAGGGCGCCTGGGTGGCTCAGTTGGTTAAGCGACTGCCTTCGGCTCAGGTCATGATCCTGGAGTCCTGGGATCGAGTCCCACATCGGGCTCCCTGCTTGGCGGGGAGTCTGCTTCTCCCCCTGACCCTCCCCACTCTCATGCTCTCTCTATCTCATTCTCTCTCTCAAATAAATAAATAAAATCTTAAAAAAAAAAAAAAATACCTGAGGAAACAAATGCCGGGTCTGACTATCTAGAAAGTGGAAGATAGGGCATTTGAATCCTATTTTTGTTTGTGTTGTTTTGTTTTGTTTTGAAGTAATCTCTACACCCAACATGGGGCTCGAACTTACAACCCTGAGATCAAGAGTTGCATGCTCTACCGACTGAGCCAGCCAAGTGACCCTGAGCCCTGGTTTTTTTTTTTTATTTAGGCTCTTTCTACTATGCCTCTTGCCTCTCAGAAAGAGTTTTTTTTTTTTTTTTTAAGATTTTATTTATTTATTTGACAGAGACACAGCGAGAGAGGGAACACAAGCAGGGGGAAAGGGAGAGGGAGAAAAGCAGGCTTCCCACTGAGCAGGGAACCCAATGTGGGGCTCAATCCCAGGACCCTGGGACCATGACCTGAGCCGAAGGTGGACACTTAAAGACTGAGCCACCCAGGTGCCCCAGAAAGAGTTTTAAGTACAGAAATATTCAGGTTTTCCTTTGGTAAAACCAAGACTCCTGATGAGCACATGCAATCAAAATATATGTGGGCTAGGGCTTACGAGTTACATGTGTGTTCTTGTGACTAGATTTTCTGCTTTTGGCTCAGATTGGCTGCTTGAGGGATGATGCTTCTACTCCTGCCTGTTCTAGAAATTTTTAAATGGTAGCAGTATTACAGCCAGGACAAAAGCAGGTACTGCACAGCTAACTGTGCTAGGCCCAAATTTAGCTGTTAGGCTTCTTTTCTTTGCTTCCTTGCAGATCTGGAGGTCAAGAGATCATGTTGTTCTAGGTTTTCAGTAATGCGGACTTGGCCTTTCTCTTTGACAACTCCCTCCTGTGTTGTCCTGATTAGGGCCTGATGTGTGACCTTTGCAGGCTATTTTACATTTATGATTTAAAATTTAAAGCATTTTTTGACTTGTCAAAATTGCTCTAAACCTAAATGAGGGAAAAGTTAAGAATTTAAAAAATGTGAAATTACTAGTTAGGGCAGTTTTTTTGTTGTTTGTTTTAAGTTAACATTTTGCTTTCACATGTTCTAAAAGATATATATGTACTATTTATTTCTTTGGTTGAATTTATTTTTATTTTTATTGTTTTAAAGATTTTACTTATTTGACAGAGAGAGAGCCAACACAAACAGAAGGAGCAGCAGGCAGAGGGAGAGGAAGCAGGCTCCCCACTGAGCAGGGAGCCCGATGAGGGGCTCAAACACAGCACCCTGGGATCATGACCTGAGCCGAAGGCAAACGCTTAATGACTGAGCCACCCAGGCGCCCCTCTTTGATTGAATTTAGATCCCAAGTAAAATCGATCTACCATCTACCATCTATAGCCAACTAACACTGATTCAGTTTTTTCTTTGATATTTTGGTCATTTTGCCATCTGTCACCTACTCTTATCTCTCAAGATCAGTATTGCCGTTTGGGCTTCTCTTTGCGTGCTCCCTATTTCTTTTACACACACCCAGTTATCTCTGAGCTTTACCAGAACTCTACTTTTCAGAGCAAAGGCAAGAAAGCTCTTTTGTTATATTACCTTGTAAATGTTGGCTGATCACTATTTTTGAAACTTCATTGACTTTTTATCATTAGATTGCTATTTGAAAGAAATAGTAATACTTTAAAATTTCTAGTTTAAACATATGCAAAATAGTTATATTTGGGGTTGGTATATTTGGTAGGGGGAGGGAAAGAGATACAAACACGACTACACTTGACTGTTTTCTTTTTAAGAGTGAGGAAGGACTGTTCCAGAAGAAGCCTACAGCAAACAATCTCTGATTTCATTGACCAAAATTGGGTTACATTCCCTTTCCTAAATTAGTCACTGGTAAAGACTGAGGGAATTATTCTTAGCCAACCAGGCCCATCCCTTGGCCTGAGGATGTGGTTGACTTCCCCTGAAGCACATGGCTGCATGAGAGAAGAATGGATAGATAGGTGCGTAGAAGAAAATATATTAGGGAGGAAGGAGAAAATTGAGGGGCTGGGAGGAGAGGATCAACCAAAAGAATCCTCTGCGCTTACTATCCACAGTTTGTTAGCAGTTGAGGAACTTTAAAATGTAAATGCAACTTTTATTATGCAGTTACTTTTTGTGGCACTTGCTTTTTTCTTGCTCTGTCAGAGTTCTTGGGGTGGACATGGGAGCTTATATAAGTACAGAGAAAGACTGAATCGAGTATGGCTAATAGGTTTCTGTGAATGGTGGGTGGGTTATTTGGGACAGCAAATTCATGTTCCTTGTGTGGTTCAGGTGGAATCAGGTGGCTATGCAGGCATATAGAAGCATAAAGACAGTCATCTAGTTAAGCAATCCTGATTTTTCAAAATAGCATTAAGTGTTAATTGCTAGCCTGAAAGGAACCTAGAATTTGTTAAATGGTAAAATAGAAGGATATGCACTGGGAAGAGAAAGTAAAAACTAGGGGTGCCTGGGTGGCTCAGTTGGTTAAGCGTCTGCCTTCGGCTCAGGTCATCGATCCCAGGGTCCTGGGATCGAGCCCTGCATTGGACTCCCTGCTCAGCGGGAAGCCTGCTTCTCCCTCTCCCACTCCCCCTGCTTGTGTTCCCTCTCTCTCTGTGTCTCTGTCAAATAAATAAAATCTTAAAAGAAAAAGAAAAAGTAAAAACTAGATATAGGAAGATTGTATAAGATCTTAGAGTAACTGAGAGGGAGGGGAACTCAAGACTATTAGCTGAGTAAATGTACAAAATCATTCAATCTTTTAATAAAATTTATTATATCATTATTTGTGAATACAGTTCAGTTTATTGGAGTGGACATGGAAATAAGTGCAGCAATATCTATGTAATACAGGTACAGAGAAGGCCCTCCGAACACATAAATGACAACTTTGAGAGGTCAGAGAAGAGGTTACATTGAGCTGGATCCAGTAGAATGAGTTTCCTAGATAGATAAAGGAGGAAGTCTATTTCAGATTCATTGATGACCACATCCAAAGACCCAAGTTAGGGAGTCCTTTAATTTGGTAAGGTTGAAGATCAGGCTATAGTATTCAGATTTGGCCAGAGGAGAGCCTATTATTTCATAATGAGGAATTTGGATTTTAGGGAGCCATTGAAGGATTTGAAGCTGAGGAGGAACGCCAAATTTGTGGCTTAGATCACTAGGCTACGTTGGATCATGGATTAAGGCAGGAATTGAGGGAGTGGGGCTGGGTGGGTGGGGGCCGCAAATGTATCTGAGAAATCATAAGGGCAGAGGAGTAGAGATGGCAAGGTGGGAATAAAGCTGAGATAGATTTAGGGGAAAGAAATCAGTAGGACCTGTTATCAGTTGAGTAAAGAGAGGAAGGAGGCTAGAATTATTTCATTTCAATTGTGATAGGAGAAGCGGATTTGGGGGGGGGGGAGAAGGAAAGTTGATTCAGGCATTAATAAGATGTTTAATAAAATGTTTCAGGTATTACTAAAAATGTGGGAGGCTTATATACCATTTTACCAGAGTGATAAAATGTGGAGAAGAGACTAAACCAAGTAAAAAGAGAATTTGGTCTTGTGGGGAGGAGGGTGGTAGTTGTGGGAAGGTGACTAGGAAATGTGTGATAAATAAGGGTTGTTTAGTAAGATTTGTTATGCAGATAAGAGTACTTCTCCTCAGGGTAGTGAAGAGGGGGACCGAACACT